GTTTTTTCAGATTTTTTTGAGAACTGTTTTTTTTTTTTTTTTTTTTTTTTTATGTTCGTGTTCGGCGGGTTTTGGGCGTTTGTTCGCGTTCGGGCGAACATGTTCGCGTTTGCCTCCAAACGCGAACACGGTGCTACGTAGCTGGGAAGGTGGTCAGACAAAAACTGCATCATGGAGAGGCTAAACCTATCTGTTCCAAAGAAGAGTGGTCAATAATCCAATCATTCGTGGGGAGACAGTGATGTGCAATTTGCCACTGCAATGAGGAAAATTTAGTTGGTCTCTGTCTTATATTTAAAAAAAATATATGTCCTTGAGTAGATTTATGTCTAAATTCAAGTGCCTAGACCATCTCTCTTGCAGAATTGTGCAATGTCAACCTTTGGTCGTAGCAGTTTGTATGCCGCCTTCACCGTAAGTGACTATAGGGTCCTTGGTCTGCCCCTCTTGCTGGTTTGCCAAACTTACCTAAAACAGAAGGCTACGCAGCAAGAAAGCACCGACCCCACCCCGTCAAAGGTCCAAAAAAACTTGGAGAGTCTTCCGCATCGGCCCACAAAACCAAAAACTCATTTATCAAAACCAAACAAATATAACAGCATTGGCATTCCCGACATTCATCTCAAACTACACACTCGCGTCACTGCCAAAGAGGAGGAAGAAGATAAGAGACTACTTACCTAAGACAGAAGACTCCTCCAGCAAGAACGCACCAACCCCCCTTGCTAAGGGTCCAAAAAAATTGGGAAAGCCTTCCACGCCTTCCAACAAAGCATACATTCCCCCTAAGGAGAACTCATGGCCACCCATAAACATCCAAACAGCCCATGCTCTAAAGCAGGGCAACGAATTAGGCCGTGACTACCAAGACAACGCCAACTCCGGAAACGAGAGAGGGAGTCACAGCAGCCCATGAGAGAACAACTGTGACATCCGCCGCCAGCCGGGAACAACCTTTTCGAAGTGAAGTTCTCTCCTTTTCCCGCTAACCTCCCTCCTCCCTCCTCCTCATTAACGCACTTTAACGCAACCTGCAACCCCCTCCCCCTCCCTCCCCTCCCCCGAATCACCATAGCCTCCCCCCCCAAAAAGCTACCCCAAGCCCCCACCACATCTAACTGATACCCCCCGCAATGTCTAATCATCACCACTGCCCCTCCCCCCCCGACATCGACAATGCTCCCCCTCCGGACTACCGCAAGCTCCCCCCCCTCAATACTACCGCAAGGCCCCACTTGCAACACCCCCGCTCAAAGCGGTTCGAGTGGCAACCTCAAAGCGCGAGGAAAAGAAAAAGAGATGCAATAAATTTAGAAAACAAAATCATGGCCATGTCCGCTCCTCCCACCTTCTCCCTCTCACTCTCGAACGGGATCTCGCCCTCTTACTAACTCTCCTTCCCACCCCCTCCTTCTCCTCCCTCCTCCCCACCCTCTCCTTCTCCTCCCTCCTCCCTCTCACCTCCAAGTCGAATTCCTACCCCCCCCGCTCCCCTAGCTCTCCTTGGCAACCCCATCGCTTCCCCCCCTGCCACTCCGCCCACACTGCGATGCCAATGCCTATCCTTCCACACGACCTTCTCACACTGAGCCGCCGCCTCCTCCTCTCCAACCTCTAGCACTTCTCCCCTCCCCCCTTCCTTGCAGTGCAGCAGCTTCCCTCCTAGCTCCCTCATAACCACGAAACCTCAGCGCAATCGTCAACACACAGCTGAACCACCCCCTCCACCTCGTGCTCCTGCAACACCCCCAACCCCCAAGGTAACCACCCCCCCCCACCACCACCACGCACACACTCTGTAACACTCCCCCCGTATCAACCAGACGCAGCTACTGACAAGTAACCAAACACCTCATCAAACACACAACAATAGAACCTACGAACCACAGATCTCCAGTAAGAGAAGAATGCAATGACCCGTCATAACACAGACTGGGAACACTGCTGATTTCTGAAGTTCTGCCGATGGAATGCATGCCTTGATGAGATTCCCGCATTCTGCTGTGTTTTCTAAGTCTGTCTGTGTGTGCGTGCTTGTGACTTGCATGCCTGTCTGAGTGCTTGTCGGTACGAGTGTGTGTGGGACCCGCAAGGGTACTTGTTGGTTTGGTAGGCCCGTAGGGCCGGTACTTACCTGTGGCCGTGGCATTGAGGGTTGTAGCAGGGAAAACACTCAAGTGGCGAAGCTAGCGGCCCTGAGGCCCTTGGGGTAGCGGAAAAACACTCAAGTAGGCCGGTAGGCYGATACTGCACCCCACTGCAGTTGRCGTGAGGGGTACTGGAGGCCGAKCARAAAAAGACAAAGTTGGCATTTTTAGAGTCCAGTAGCGGTAGGGTAGGTCTAGGCCGGTACCAGTCCAACCASTCTRAGTCTAGAGCCTGTACGGGTAATATCAGGGTCTGCAATGATGTTTCCCTCCGAAACGRAGGAGGTACCGGTTGCTTGGAGAGGCCGAGCGGCCTGGAAGTCACCGCCCAAGAGGCAAGCAGGCCGCTATATCTWGAGGCGGAGGCAAGAGCTCCGCCTCATTCTTCAGTGTGCGAGTTGKTCRTCACGCTGCTGGAGCGCTAGGTGGTGAAGCGCTGGGCACTACAGCGCTGCTGGGAGGAAGAAGCCGGGAGCTTCCACCTTGGCTATGGTGGAGCTCGGCCGGTAGGAGGAGGAGGGAGAAGGGGACCAAGGAGGAGAGTGGTAGGGTACTTACCTGGCTATGGTAGACACCATCTTCATCTCCTTGCTAGACGCTGCATCAGGAAGGCCCCAGTGGGGGTAGTGCCGTATCAAGGAAGCTCGGACAGAGTCAGGCATGGCGGTCGAGTGGGCAGCGGCATAGCTGCTGGGTGATGACCTTGAAGTGGGGCAGCGGTATAGCTGCTTGGGGTTGTCTTTGGTACAGGAGGCTGAAGCCTCGGTTATCCGCCATAGCCTCGGCCTGTATGTGGAGGAAGAAGAAGGGCTGTCATGGCTATGGTGGACCTCATCTTATGCCTGCAGTAGAAGTGGGATTCGGACATTGATTCTGGTTCAGCTGTTCAACATTACTATTGTTTATTTATTGTTTGAATAAGAGAGGAGGAGATAAAGAGGAGGAGGTTGTGGAGCGAAGAAGAAGAGCTTTGTCTTTGGTCTATTCTGGAGTACATCATCTCTTCCTTCTTTCTTAATTCTTCTTCTTCTTCTTCTTCTTCTTCTTCTTCTTCTTCTTCTTTCCCTCTCTCTCCTCTCAAGTTCTTTCATTTCTTTTGCAATTGGACGGCATTGGGCTCAAGTTCATTCATTTCTTTTCGCAATTGGACAACATTGTACTTTCTGATGATTGTGGACTTCAAAAATGGCCAGGATCGTAACATTGGTATCGGAGCGGATTCTACTTGTTGGCGAGAGTTGACTTGGCTGCCATAATCCTAACCCTAGTGGTAAGGGCTACCACTTAGGGTTAGGGCTGGAAGTTAGGGTTAAGTGGGGCAGCGTGGTAAAGGGAAGCTGCTCCCACCTGGCAGGGCCGTGCAGGGTCGACACTAGACCCAACCAGGTTGTTTGAGTGCATGTTTATGGTGGCGAGACACAAGGTGGGACTTCGTGATGCAATTTGAGAGAGGCGACAGTGAAGGGCACCTACAACTTGAATCTGGACTTCAGGGAAGACAAGGAGTGACTTTAGGGCTCCCCTCAAGTAGGCGAGCTTGAGGGTGGCAGCCATATCTGCACCTACGGACTGCAAGTTGCTGCTTTGATCTTCAACATTGACGGGGGATCCGGCTTTGTACTTTGGGGTAGATGTTGACCCTCCTAGATGATAGGACACTAGTGTAGAGGATGCTAATTGGGTCAGGAGGACTATGTGAGAGGGGGGTGAGTTCTTTTCATCTCAAGAGCCCGACCACTCAGGTAAGTGTCGTGCCACCACGGTGCCCATGTGTGTGTGCATTGACTGCCTGTTGGGGTTCTTTGGGTTCTTCTTCCATCCTCCATAGTCTTGATTGTGTGTGAGGTGTGTGAACTGCCTACTCACCCGATGAGTGAATGAATGAAGTATCTTGTTTGCCATGCGATATCTCTCTACAGTGCTTTGTTTATTTCATTCTGAACGGCAGTAGTCTACAGGTTCTTTCTGGGGCAAAATTTCGTTTTTCAATTCAGTAGGGACAGAGTAGGTCTCTGTGGAACTCTTGTTGGTTGGGACCCGGTTCTGACTCCACTGGGACCATTTGGGACTCAGTGGGACCGGGCCCAAACAAGAAGGGCCCCTCAGGCCAAATCTGCTGACGTCAGTTACCTTGCTCTATCTGATTGGGATACGGACTTTATTCTTTCGGACCAGGACACTCGCTGCGGAGGGGATCTCCGCTGGGACGTTTTATCAGACTTTACCGCGCAATCCGCCGCCTGACTCGCACCTTATACACCACTCAATTCTCTCTTGCATTTCGCTGTACATCTTGAATTTGATTTGCTGTGTTTTCACGGGGCTGAGGCTGGCTAGTCTTGGGAGGACCCCATACGTAGTCAGTTCAGACTGTGTGGCTGGATCAGATCTCTCTGATCTTTTCTTTTTTGCTGTTTTGACTGCTCTCCAATCCAAATGAATTGCCGCTCTAGCTAGGAGTTCTACCTTCTCTTCTGAATGATTTCAAGCTGTTTCTTTCATTGGGTTCTTTAATGCGTGGGTCTACACGGTCGCAAACGAGAGAGAGAGAGAGAGAAGAGAGAAGTTATTGAGTGTTGCTCTTGAAGGAGTGAGGAGAGGGAAGAGGAGCGTTCGTCACAAAACTGAGAGGAAGTACGGGCCCCTCTTGAGAGTCTTACTGACACCCTCATCCTCCATCATGGCATCTGCAGCAGATTGGAAACTGCAGATGGACGCTGCCCCTGAGGCAGAAAAACCGCAGTATCAGTTCTTCTACGAGAAAGCCTTGAAGAGGGAGGAGGAAGAGAAACAGAGAGAGAGAAGGGATAAGGTGTAGGCTCACGAGGCCGTCCTTAGCACCGTGTCCGCTCTGACTGATGAGGAGGTTGAAGAGAAAACAGTTCCCCTCCTCAGAGCCTTAGCAGGGGTCCGGGTTGCTGAGGACCATACTGGCCAGCTCGCACAGGTGTTTAAGCAACTCAAGGAGTTGCGCGAAGACATGGCCAAGATGGCGCAGCAGCACCGCGATCAGCTGCAACAGTTTGCTAGTTCGCAGCAGGCTCAAATCGTCTCTTCACTCACCTATCCTGCCTCCAATGCTGCGTGTCAGTCCAATTTTGCCCCTCTGACTACGTCTACTTCTTCTCCTTCTACTTCTTCTTCTTTGAGTGTGGTTAACAGCCAAAGCGGATCTGCAGCAAGTCCAGACCCCGCTGCTGCTGCTGCTGCAGCGGCAAGTGGTGGTGCAGGGACTTCTGGAACTGTTGCAGCCCCGGGCCCGGACCCAGCAATGGTTGGGCCAGGCGGCAGCTTTGCTTACATCGACAGGAAGGCGGCGCAGATTCCGTCCAAGTATGACGGAAAGGACAACGTCGAGTCTTGGATCAGCTCCATGCAATCCTACTTTGATGTATTGGGGACACCCCCGTCCACTCAGTCGTCTATCCTAGGGACCAATGTGGAGCCCGTCGTGAGAGGTTTCCTAGAAACCGAAGTTGTTCAATCAGGCTATAAGAGAATAGACCTGAACAAATGGCTGAAGGCTACGCCTACTACCGCACTTGAGGATCTCTTGATCAAGCAATATGCTGATCCACATGCTGCAGCTAAAGCAAGACTCAAGCTTGATAAACTCAAGCACAGCAAGTGGACCGGCACCATGCACAGCCTGCAGCAGTATGTGAGTAAACTCTTTGCTACTCCGGATCTGGAGATGACTGCGCAGTCCTGTTTGGATGTAATAAAAGGAACAGTCCCCTCTACTCTAAAAGATCGCTTAGGGCTCGGGCTCAGCGGATATACAAATTGGCTTACCCTCATGCGGGACTTAGTCAAGCTGGAGGCACAAGACCTCCCGGGTGGATCAAGTGGCAAAAAGGCCACCAGCCGCAAACGGTTTCAGGGCAGCAACCGTTTTGCAGCACATGATCTGCTTGAGGCTGACGAGGAGAACCTCGTAGATGAATCTTCTCTTGATGACGATCAAGAGCAAGACTGCGGGGCATCTTGCTCTTTGTCAGCCCATGAGTCTGAGTATGTGAACGATGAAGAATCCATGTATGCCTTTAAAAAGACTGCCTTTAAGAGTAAGGGACCGAGGACTACAACGAAGAACAACACTAACACTATTCTTCTTCCCAAGTGGGCAAAGATTCCACCCAAACCGGAAGATCCTACCACAAAACCATGGGTAGATCTCCGGATCAGTGAAAGCGAGTGGAAACACAGGGTGAAGAAAGGGGTTTGCTTGCACTGCACCAAACCGGGACATTCAGTCCAACAATGCTTTAGATTGCAACAGGGAAACCAGCAACGGGGGTAGAGGTATCATCAGCATACTCTACAGATGGAAAGGCTGAACATGTAAGTATCACTCCTTCTCTGGATTCTGATCCCACTCAGCAAACTTCTCCTCAGACCCCATCTGATGCTGATTCCAAGGCTGAGAAAATCCACATCCTATATAAAGAGCCTTGGGTAGAGTCGGAAGAGATTGACTTCCACGCTCTGTTGACGCGCTGGGCTCATATGAAGCAAGAACGCGCGCAAGGGAGAACGAAGCTGATTTTCTTCAAACTCTACATTAATGGCCGTTACATCCGTGCGTTGGCTGATTGTGGCGCAACCTTCAACTACTTCTCACCGCACGGCATTCGTAAGGCACGCTTGGGGATGAAGCAAGTGACTTTGCAGAATCCTTGTCGGACCCAAGTGGGCAACCAAGAGGTTGTCACTTCCACGCATGCAGTCAAAGGTGTGCGCACTACCTTTGACGCTGATCGCACAATCACGCATGAATTGAACTTCTATGTCCTTGATTAGTGCCCCTTCGACGCGGTTATTGGCTTGGGCTGGTTCAGGCCCAATGTGAAAGAACCACGTAGAAGGACTCACAATTCATGGTCAAAGATGCCATGGGGATCGAGCGTCCCGTCCTCTTGGATGAGCCGCGCGAGTCCCAAGTGACCTTTCTCAATGCAATGCAATTCTGCAAAAAGTGGCGCAGGCGCAAAACTGATGAGCAAATGTATATAGCCTTTGTTAGGCCTGCTCATGTGCCTTCTATTTTTGCTGTACATAGTGATTCTACTCTGCATGCTGTGTCCACCTCGGATGCAACTACTTCTACCTCTACTAAGTCCAGCTCTAGTCCAAATGACTCTGCTTCTAATCCTGTTGTTTTGGCTGCACCTATACAAACTAACATGCTTGCTCCTGAGAGTGATGATCCCCCTCCGGAAATCCCACCGGAAATTCGTAACCTTCTCAACCGATTTCCTGACGTCTTGGCCGAACCGCATGGAGTCCCCGTGCGTCCGGTCTGACACAGGATCGAGTTGATTGAAGGTAGCACTCCTCCAAAGGGTTGTGTCTATCGAATGGGCTCAGGCAAATTGGAGGAGTTGCAAAGGCAGATTGATGAAATGATTGGGAAGGGATGGATCAAACCGAGTGAGTCGGAGTTTGGTGCACCGGTGCTGTTTGTCCCTAAGAAAGGAGGTAAGTTGCGGATGTGTATTGACTATCGCGGGTTGAATCGGATCACGAGAAAGAATGCATATCCTTTGCCACGTATCGATGATTTGCTTGATGCTGCGGGTGGGTGCAAAGTCTTCAGCAAGATCGATCTCAAGTCTGGCTACCACCAGATCGAAGTCGATCCTGCGGACCAGCACAAAACCGCATTCAAAACTCGTGATGGGTTGTACGAGTTTACCGTCATGCCCTTCGGTCTCACGAATGCGCCAGCCACCTTTCAAAGTCTCATGGACAAAGTGTTCCGCCATCAGATTAACCGGTTTGTTGTTGTTTATCTGGATGACATACTGATCTTCAGCAAATCGATGGAGG